TTTAAATAAGAAGGCAAAAAGTTCGTGGTGTGCCAGTATTGCTTTCTGAGAAATCTTTGGAATGTATTCATTTAATCTTGAGGAATAGGGAGAAAGCTGGCGTATTGCCTTCTAATCCATACATATTTGGAATTCCTGTTTGAAACATTGCATCTCATAACTTGTGATTTGATGGGAAAATTTGCAGAAGAGTCAGGTGTAAAAAATCATCATCTGATAAGAGGATTTCGATTGCGGAAGCAGTTAGCCACTCGGTCATCAGTACTCAACTTGGAAGAAACTGGAATGAGCGATCCAGCAAACTTCCTTGGACACGCTGAAGAGATCCATAGAGATCATTATAGGATGCCCGTAGTCAGCAGAGAAATTGGAGGAGTTTTCAGATTACTGGAAATTGGCGTGAACAGTTATTCACCATCACTTCGCCACAATATGGATATTGGACACAATGGTATAACTCTCTCTCTCTCTATCTCATCTTTTTCTCTATCTCATCCCTTTATCTCTATCTATCTATTCCTTCATCTATTTCTCTATCTATCTCTCTATCTATTTATGTATCCATCTCTCTCTCGATCTCTCGATCTCTCTTCCTCTCTCAATTCCTCTCTATCTCTCTGTCTATCTCCATCTCAATCTCCCTATCTATCTCCATCTCAATCTCTCTATTCATCTCTCTGCTGAAGTATAAGGACATTGAAATACAATGTCGAAGTCAATGATCAATTTTTCAGAAAATTCTGGCACCACGGATCAAATTTGCAATACTGTGGATGATACTACAAAACAACTGGTGAATAACTCGCTCTCAACAGGGTATGCTACAAATGGAAATGAGAATGATGGTTCTCATCCTGAAGAAGATTCATTGAGGGAATTGAACTCTTCCACAGCAGTTTATGAAAAAAAAACGATGTGATAAAGTATGATAAAACAATTTTTATCAATGTACAGAGTGATTCACTGAATATTTCACGCTTTCAACTTTCGATATCTTCTGGAGAGTAACTGAGATAATGTAAATTTCAAAAGAAACTCTTGAATCAGATGTGTTTCTATCATTGAATATTAATACATCATATAACGCTTGTTGATTTCTCTACAAGCTTATAAATTAAAGGAACACATCTATCATGGAATATCATGAAATCAAATTGAGAAAGTAAGCAACACACAAAATCCCAGATGATTATTTAACCTACCTTTCATCCAGTGAAATGAATTATTAATATGATGATAATGCCATTATGATGCATGTTGCATGAAACGCCTTGAACGAAACAAACTTCTTCATGAAATCAATAATAGCGAAGAGGCAAAAATAATCAAGATCATCTCCACAGATTCATTGGACAGGGGTAGGTACATGTTTCGGACCCATATAGGTCCACCATCAGCCTGAATATCAATTATTGTGGAAAGGACATTTTCATGTTATTTATGATGAAATTTGTTAGGATAATGAATAATTGATGATCAATACAGTGTGACAGGTTTATTGAAAATGAATACCTCTTCCCCAGAATGGAAAAAGTGAGAGAAGAAGAAATACAACAGAGCCCACAAGTCAGAGACATACACACTCGTCCAATAAAATTGCTACTTCAACAATACTACTCCACTTAGAGATAACATAGACTTCTACCCTCTTCCAATTAGAGCAAACACGTACCACTCACGGCGGCACGGGAACCTCCATTCAGCTAGTGGAACCACTTCGAAATTCTCAATTTTTTTCTTCGGCCATAATTTTAGGCTGATTCAAGGCTAATTTATTTATGCGAAAAAACGTGGGAAGAACCACTTCGTTAATGAAAGTTCAATCACAAAACTGATTATGATATAATTCAAGGCTAATTTAAGGCTCTTATCCCAGCCTATTGCCAATTTTTCCACACATTGTTTTTTGAAAAGGGTCATGGGTTTTGCTAGCTCAACTGTTAAGCTAGCAGAACCAAATCTCAGGTAAAAGGAATTTGAGAATATTGAGTACACCATAATTTAAGGCTAATTTGAGGCTCTTCATTGAACCTTTTATCAATCTTTTTGAAAATCATTCTCAGCAGGAAGAGTAGCAAATAATTATTTGTTGAAGTATCAATAAAACACGCTTTTCATGATAGCCAGAATGTGAAGAAGTAGAGAATGAAATAATCAAGGTGTGTTGATGAATTCACAAAGAAGAATATATTGATAACGCAGATGCTAATATTCTGCAAGGTGTGTATTCTTCTACATACTTTTATCATTTTATACTACTTTTTGGTTTGATTATCTATGAACGCGTGTTCCATCAGTTGTCAAACTACTATTCATTACAAAGCTCGTTCGCCATATTGGATCCGCCATTTTTAATCTCCCAATTTTGACAAAATAATCCCCATCTACGACATCAGAAAGCTCCATTCAGAATGAAATCGGATCATTATCAAAAAACTTGTTCGTCATATTGGATCCGCCATCTTGAATTCTCCAATTCTGGCGAAATAATCATAATCTCCGACCAGTCCGACCCCAAGAACCCCAGATAAAAATCTTAAATTGAATTGGATGATGATTACAAAACCCGTCCGCCATCTTGAATTTACCATTTGACGGGAAAAATCAGAATTTCCGACCCCGAAACGCCTCAGCAGGTACCAATTTTGAATAGAATCGTATCATAATTCAAAAAGTCGTCTGCCATATTGGATCCGCTCTATTCTCGTGCGAATTCTCCAACTTTGTGATAGGAAACATGATTTTCGACTCCAGAAACCCCCAGATACCCATTCTGAATAGAATCGCGGATCATAATTACAAAAACTCGTCCGCCATCTTGGATTTCCTTATTTTGACGAAAGAATCATAATCTCCGATCTCAAAAACCCCCAGATAAATGGAAATTTGCTTATTTTGAAGAACGGATCATAATCTCCGACCACGAGAACCCCAGATACCCAGCCCAATTTGTTGGAAACGAAGAGCTAGGGCAAACAACAAGTTCATGCCTTCATATGATTCATCAGAGCTTGACTCATATTCAATGTACTTTGACGTAAACAACCAGTACGGTTGGGCTATTTCTTAGGCATCGCCATTAGAGGATTTGAATGGGCCGACACTAATCTTGATGTAACAACCGTTGCTGATGATGCTTTCGAAGGATACTTTTCAGAAGTTTGGGAAAGGCTGCTGGAAATAAACTCAAGAAAAATTCATTCAAGTTGGTCCGGAAGAGAGTTAACGTTGAGCTTCTAACGAAATGGGAAGGAAGATATGGCGCTGAAGCATGGACTTCAAAGCCAGAGTTCAAGAATTGTACTATATTCAACGAGAATTCAGTTGCTGTAGAGCTAGAAAAACTTCAAATATATCTCAAAAAGCCCATTCACGTCGGTCAGACCATTCTCGATCTTGCCAAAACCACCATCTACGGCTTCCATTACGGTTATATGCTCGGAGAATTTGGTAATGATTGCTCTGCTTGCTACACCGACACAGACTCTTACTTGCAGGGTGTTTCCTGAAACATATCAGTATCTGGTGCAGTATTTAAGGGAAAGAATAAGACATCCTGATGGTCTAGAGATATCTCAAATTCACTTAGAACACCAAGTGCTATTTGCTCTGTGTTTTTTTTGCCACGCCAGACTTCTGCAGGTATCGGTTGGTTTTTTCCAAAAATCTGTATGTGAAAAATGTTGGAAAAGCCACTGGATTTTGTATAATCAGAAGGGTAGTGATAGGCATTTGTGAACTGGCTCCCAATTTTATCAAATGGCCCAAAAACAGGGACAATGCAGCCATAATTTGAAATGGGTTTAGAGAAAATGGACCAATTCCAAAAGTTGTGGCAGCAATTGCCACATTGATATTACAAAACCATCAGAAGATGGAAATCCCTTCATTAATAGGCACCATAGAAGCTCAATTCAATCACAGCTGAAAATTCGAATTGTCATTTTATTATATTCATTCTTCATATGAATTATGATTTTAGGCAGTTTGCGATCATAAATGCATATTCAGCCATGTTTATATTGGGCACTGTGGATCAGTTCATGACCAGAGAGTCTTGCGATTATCTAAGGTCTCAGACTACTTGAATAATCCAGACACTTACTTTCCAGAAGATAGTCATTCGCTGGGTGAAAGTGCTTATACCATTCACAGACATGTATTGGTACCTTTTCAAAATAATGGCCATTTGACTGAACAACAAATGTTATTCAATACTAGCCTATCATCGGTACATGTCAATATGAGAAGAGATTTTGGTTTTCTTGAGAATAGATTTCGAAGGATTTTGAATTGATGTCCTCTAACAGATATTTCGTTCATCGCCGAGTAGATTTTAGCCTGTTGTGTCTTACATAATATTTGTATAATGAGGAATGACTTGATTGATATGGAATTGATAAATGCAGACAATGTTCATCTTGATGTCCTCAATAGACATCACAATGATTTTCAAGTAGTAGGTGGTCAACAGAAAAGAGAGAAGATAACTAGGGATATGTGGCCTGGAGAACTGTGAATTACATCATTCATACTGAATGAATGAAGCAGTTGTTGAATGGCCTGTTTTTTCGCAGGCCTACAATTGTGTAGCTATTTTTTGGAAAATTTTTATGATATGCACAAAAAGTATCAATCTGCTACTAGCACTCTCCTATAATGGCATTGTGGAAAATTCCTGGTATGATACATTACTGGACTATCTACAAATTAAAATAGAATACTCAGAAACTAATTCAGTATATGGGTATAAGATACTCAATAATTTATAGACCAATGGTAAATTCAACGAGTTCAATGAGGTAATAACATAAAACTAAAATAACTCAGTCATGGAAATTTAAAAATTTTCTCCAAATGAAAAAATAAACACTTGAAAAACTTGAAAAAAAAACAAAACACTTGAGACTATTCTCAGATAAACGATACAAACACCCAAATCTTCATCTAATACTAAATTCACTCAAAAATAATATGATATACATGAATATAACACTCCTTCAATGGATGAGTTCTCTTGAGTTGAATTTTTCTTTATGTCTCTGATCCTGTTCCATTTCATATTCTTCTCTTCTTCTATTTCTTTCTTCAAGTCTCATTTTCCTCTCTTCATCACGTTTTTGCCTTTCCATCTTCAAATCAGTCAGTATCACATCAATATTAACTTGTCTTTTCTTGGGCGCCTTTTCAGAGCAACCTGTGTTCAGGAGGTAGGTACACAGGTGTTCTCTATTTATGAAGAATAATCCTATTTTTCATCAAGTAGATGATTATCTACTAAAATATCATGTAGGTATCAACTTCAACAATTCTTATAACATATTTTCACTTGCCTGGTTTTGGTTCACCTCGAGCCATTTCATTTATATTCAAATATGTGAAAGCGCCTGTTGAAGATACAGCTCCCTGTAAGAGTTGGGCCCAAGATTTTTTATCGAAGAGATTGGACATTACCTAGAAGACATATGTACCCACAATTATTACCAGAATTTTGGTTTGCAATATATAAATAATAGAAAAGCAATAGTCAGTTACAATACATACTGAATAGTATTCCCAAGTGATAGGGGTAGCTCCTGTTTCAGACTGACTGTCTTTAATAGCTTTGGAGCGGCGTTTCAATGTGTCCATCTCGGAAGAACATTGCTGAGGTGACGCATTGATGCCACCTTCATTCAGAGTTGTTGAAATTAATTTCCAACCCTGTTTGAATTGTCCAGCCTTGAATTTACTTTCATATTCTTGGTTTGCATCTAATAATGAAAGAATTGCTTTATGGTTCCACCTGAATGTTTTCGAAGATGCTACAAATTTCCTATCGAGAGTTGTGAGGTATCATTCATGTCTATGTGCTAATGACCTTCTTCTTTGGATTGGATTTCCTCATCAGATAATATCAGTGAATCATTTCTGATTACTGAAACAGATGTTTCAGAATCATTTGGGAATTCTCTTCCAATGGCCTGCAAATATCTCACAGCAAAATCCAGATCTGAAAAATACATTATTTAACTAGATTATCCATATGAAGAAAGTGAAGAAAAAACCTTTTAGATTCTCAGCGGTTTCAGTTTCAACTTCTACACACAAATCATCCAGAATAACTTGAAAAATTTTCTGATTTCGATTTTGTGTTTTGAATCACAACCAAGCAACCGACACAACCACACCAACATACCTATACGAATATTAAAATAATTCGATCTGGGAAAGGGATACTGGGACTACAGGACCACTTTTGCACCAGTTGCAGCAGTGAATTTATAGCCTCTGCCGCGAAATCATTGCCAGTGAATTTCAGTAATATCGGACCCACCAAATTTATTGGGCATTACTGGTCAGGAATATCGGAACGTGACACACGTCATACAATTTTCATAACTGGATTCACCTCACAGATTGTGCTCGTCATTTTGGGCTATGAAGTTCGTCAGAGGGTTTTCTTGTCTCAAAATCAATTTAGTCACAAGAACACTGTTATTTCAAACATGCAAAAAACATATCAACATCATCACCTCACTCCCAGTATTCGAAATAAGTGGGTACAACATTTCACTGAATTCCGGATCCAAGCGGGATAACCGTTGTGGATTGAAAGATGTAACGGTATCATTAGTTTTAGATATTTGTAACACCAAACATTCAACATTTGGGTTGGAATGCGATTTCTTCATAACTCCATGCCATTATGTATGCATCATTTTCGTTTTATTTTATGTCCTTAAACAAGAATACAAACAGGACGAACCCAGAGACAGTATTCAACAACAAATTAACATATTTGTAATATTTCCGTTTTTGCAACAAGTTGGATATTTTTCTCAATAAGATGATTATATTGGTTCACAAAACTCAAGATTGTATACGGACATAAAAAATTTGAATTGAGGATTGAAACAAGTTCCATCCTACAGTAGGTTTTGGGCACTGGGAGAAATGTTCCAAACTGTTTTGCTTGTATCATTCTATGAAATTTTGGGTTTTTCGAAATTATTTGATGACATTGATAACTTTCATGGAGCATTTATCTTTTAGACATCTGATGATGTTCTATTTCTTTATAACCTTTATTGGGTACTATTTTTTACCGAACATTTGATCAAATCATAAACTTCATCCTGTTATTGCTATCCCTTGTGATTCTTCTCGTGTTGAATCTCTGATACCTAATTACGAAAATAGTTGTGTATGTTTTTCACCTCAAACATATATTTCAATCTTGTCCAATAATTGAATGAAATCTATAGCTAAGATCACATCTCCAATGATAAGCATTATGTTTTCTGATTCATGTTATTCGAATAAACAATGAGAATGCCACTTTCGCCAGGAACTCTATATGCTTGACCAAAAATGGAAGGGTGGCACATAGTGAAATTCATTGAAGGGAATGATATGGTGAAAGCAGTACCTGATTCCTGGATATTTGGAGAGTCTGAAGACTACAAATGTCTATGGCCAGATACTATTCTCGGAGTAGAAAAGTGAGATCTGCAATTCGGGCAAAGTAAAATCAACCGGAAACTGAAAAAGCTCACAAGTCGAATTTTTGAGTAGTTCACCAAATGATAGTTTCTATATGGCAACTCAAAAAGCTGAAATGGCCAAGTATACCAGTGAGTTAGATACTGAGAGCGAATTCTCAAGAGAGCATCGGGGAGAGGACATTTTGAATAAAAGAAAGAAGGTAGATGACGCATCCACTCTAGAAAAAGTTGCTAGGAGATCACCACAATTCAAATTACCAACACCTCCTGGTAAGATCAATTCGATATTTCTTGACTGATTTCCCCCTATTCTTTGCATATCAACAGTTGCAGAATTTCATCTGATGATTTTTTTATTTCAAAGCGCACGAGAGGGAATCCCTTTGATGTAGTTTCCATTCGTTATCAAATATATTTCCAGGTACTTATTCACAACTTGCCAGCTTATCACAATCTGAAACACGAACTGAAACATTAGTAGTGGTGGAACGAACTTGAGCAAGGAAGTGGCAACACAATGAATAATTCCGAACTCCAACCCGGATCCACTAACCGCAAGAACTACTTCTCTCACTGCAGCATAAACCGAAATATTCATCTTTTCAAGTTCATTAAATCTCTCATATGAATCTATGAATTTTCAATGTTTCTAAGATTTTTATAGATTTTACGGAGATTATAAGACGTCTCCATAACATTAATGAAAGGGTCACACAGAATGCTGAACTGATAACGGCTCTTCTGAATTCTAAGAATGAAAATATTGTCCCAGACCAAGATGATTATAATCAAGAAACAATAGATATTGATATGCCATTCAAGTCCTACGTAGAGTTGATGGAATTGGCCAAAAAAACAAGAAAATAAAAGAATTCATGGTGATTTTCACTTCCTTCAGAAATATCTCGAGCAATTCACAGAGCAGTGATGAAAATATGGAATGAATAATTTCATTTACAGGTGACAAAGCTTGTGCATGTTGAAATCACTGAAATAAAAAATGTCATCAGAAGATGTATGCCTGAATAAGTTGATGATGTTATTTTGAGGCCGTTAAGCTGGGTTGGAGGGAGAGAAAAGAAGATATTGCCTACCCTGGACAGGCCGAATTTGATCAAAGGTAAAAAGTCCAATAGTCAGTGTTGATTGCACTCCATTTTCACTCAATTCCTAAGGTATTTTATGACATATTCCATGAATTTCATTATGAATATTTTTTTTGGAATATTTAATTTTTTTTGGAATATTTAATTGTTTTTCTGAATTTCCATAGCATGCATTCCTATGTGGGTTACATTGAATATGAAGAACTTATGCTTGATCATTTCTTCATTCAGAGTTCAATTAGTACCGAAGGATTTTTACAATTTAGAGTCAATTCTATCATCACTTTATGCAACACCACTTCTAGATTCACTCACTATCAATCAATCAGAGAAGACTGATATCGTCATCAATGATATATCAATACTTCTTCCAAAGTGTTTCGGAATGCCTTCGTTTAACATTATTATTGTTAAATGTGTCCGCGCACCTGTTGCACTAAAACGACCTCTGACCCACATGAATCTGCCGATGATATTTAGGTCGAAAATAGGTACGATCAGTGATCTGATTTACTCCGTAGTGAGACGACGTCTTGGAATAGTTTTTTATTCTCGTGTAACCCGGTTGGTTTCACATTATATTCAAATGCTGTAATTAGTGATTGTAGATTACACTTATTGCTTATTGCTTATTGCTACTCGCTTCAAACCGCTACGTAATCCCTATTAGCAGCTTGAAACTGTGGACTTTTGTGCATGTGCCTATGTAACCATGGACCTGAGCCGGTCTCCACGCCTAACACCATTATCAGACCAAAAGGGCCCTTTGAGAAGCTAGAGGATTAGGCTTTTGTAGCATCTCACGACACGGAACAGTCTCAAAAGGGTAAGTCGTTATATAGTGCAACTCGTTCTACTGCAGTTTCTTTGAAAAATCATAATTTTTGGATTAAGTCCATTTATTCGAATCACAAAGGATTTCGAATCGCATTCATTGGTCCTTCGAGCCGGATAATCGGTACATTTTTGAATAAAATTGCATATTTTTTTAATTATTTTCTTGAAGAATTCAAAATTTCACATATTTTGGTCATATTGGCTCAAAACCGCTAGAACATCGCATAATTAATTCCAGTTATCACTTTCCTGCTTAATTACGTATTTTCATTGGTCAAAATACCAATATTCCATCTCAATTATCAATTAAAATTATTCTCGCGCGGTACTCTCTTATTGTCTTCCAATTGTTTGCCATTTATATTTTCACCTGTGAAGAATTAATTGTAAACCGGCGAAATCGGTGCGTTCGATCGACGTGGACATAGCGCTCGTCAGTCTGGTCAGAGAGGCGGGCCTAATTAAGCTCATGCGTATTGATTCACCTGTGCATAGTTGTACACGAACGTCGACCAAGAATCATCAGCTGGTACCGCTATCGTTTCACATTTGATTAACGTGCTATTTCTCTCCTCGCTGATTTATCAAATTTGCGCTGAAGTTTGATATGGATAAATTAAAGAAATATCAGGCTTATAGGAAAACCTGCCTAAATGAAATAAATATTCTCCGAACGTTGCCCGACCGTACTAAGGCTGACAGATCAGTTCGAACTTTGTTCAAAGTACGATGCGGAGAGTTAGAATCTATTCGCGAGGAATTTCAAAAACAACATAATAATGTCGTCGCGGCGCTTCTGACTGATCCAGCCGCTGATGTTGATATCGAGAATGGCGTGCGCGAGGGTTTCTTAGAGGATTTTTATGTCATTAAAAGTATATATACGGATCTGTTCGAAAATGCTAACATTAGTGGTTTACCGCAATTAAATTCGACTATGGCTACTAGTGGGAATAACAATTCGCATATTCACTTACCTAAGATCGAGTTACCTAGATTTAATGGAGATTATAAATCTTTCCCATCCTATATAGACCTCTTCAATGCTCTCGTCCATCATAACGCTTCTATCAGTGACATCGAAAAATTTAATTATTTGTTAACCTCTCTACAGGGTGCACCATTATCACTTGTTCGTACATTGCCTCTTATTTCCGATAATTCTGAAATTGCTTACACGACGTTGGTAGAAAGATATTCAAACACTCGGTTACGTGCTCAGGCTCATTGGCTTGAGCTGGAAAATTCTGGAAGGGTTCCATCCGATAATCCAAGCGCTCTACGGAAATTATTGGACACTTTTTCCGAAAATGTATCTGCCCTCAACCAAATGAAATTTCCAACTGATTCATGGGATTTTATGCTGGTAATGATGCTATTAAAACCAGATTCGAATTAGAACATGGATCATCAGATGTTCCCAAATATAAAGAGTTGTCAAGTTTTTTGAACAAACACTGCATTGCACTTGATACTTTGAATTTCTCACCCTCGTCGTCACAATCTAATAAACGCTCCACTACAATTAATACTAATAAACCGCTTCCGCCAATTTCTACTCCCCGCACTTCCGCATTTTTTACTAATAAATCTCCCTCGTCAACGTGTACATTTTGCAAAGAAAATCATTCTTTATACTCTTGTACTGCATTTGCTGCTAGGTCTCCCTCGGAACGTTATTCCTTCTGTAGGTCTAATCATCTTTGTTTCAATTGTTTGAGTGGTTCTCATGATCTTAGGTCTTGTAATTCATTGTATACTTGTAAAAAATGTAAATCGAAATATCACCAAACGCTTTTGCATGTGGATAAATCAAACACTAATACTCCAATTAGGGACGGGAACAATCCCTCACATAGTTCAATCCCGGGTCGCATTACTTCTGATAATAATTTGTCTAACTCTAGAAATACCGCGGTTGCGAGCACCTCTACTTTTTTGGCTGGACCTGAAATTAATGTTTCGACAGGGGTGTTGTTAGCAACAGCCTGGATTGATGTACTGGACAATCAGGCAATATTTCGACCTTTACGCTGTCTATTAGATTCGGGAAGTATGACATATTTCATCACCCAACGTGCAGCTCATAAATCAGGACTTCCAAAAACCGACTTTGAAATTGGAATTAAAGGAATAGGGTCCATGCAATCAAATTTCACTAATGGTCGCGTCACCCTTGCGATAAAGCCTATAGGCGAAAACTCTCCATTATTTTGCACAGATGCTGTCATTCTACCTAAGATTTGTGAAAATATGCCTGCTTCAAAATTCGCGATAGATACTTGGTCGCATTTAGCGAATATCCAACTTGCTGATAAAAGGTTCTTTAGTCCGGATGCTATTGATTTACTGCTTGGCGCAGATCTATTCCCAAAATGTATTCTGAACGAAAAAATTTCCGGTAGTTTAGATGAACCTGATGCAATAAATACTGTATTTGGATATGTCGTGACGGGACGTATACTGTCACAACAAAAGGGTTGTGCTTCCACCATGTTACGATAAAATAGAGATGGTTAATTCATCCTATCGATTTATAAGTGGTAATGCTTGGCTTAATATTCTGCGAGAGGTAATATTAAAATAGGCACTAATAGTACAGGGGTAACTGAAAGTACGAGACTACATTCAAAGATAACAATATTTATAATAGCATGAAACATTATGGGTAGCGATAACAATTATGAATAAACAACAATGAATATAAAGACTGAATAACAACTTACATTATAAAGACCATAACGACGAGCTCTTGTCAAGTCAAGAGTAGCCCCAGACCAGACTAACTTCGGAACCCTCATATCCAATATTTATATACATCATTTTATTAGATTTGCACGTTTCTCATGAGAGTTCCTTGGTCAGTTTTCATAGTTCAATGTCAATTGATGATTTGAATAATTTTATGTTTATAAAACCCTCATGGTTACAAATTACTAATATACTGAATGTTCTACTCGTGACATGACCCCTCTCTCCGAGAAAACTGGACCCCAGTTTTGAAATTACTACCTACTTATAGCTATCGAGAAGAACATATATCTTGAATACATAAATGACAAAAATCAATACATCTCCGAAATTAAGTTCACACACTCAAAAGTTTAGTGTCTACAATGCACACTCACACATTTACTTCCCCTCTGCCGCGAAATCATTGCCAGTGAATTTCAGTAATATCGGACCCACCAAATTTATTGGGCATTACTGGTCAGGAATATCGGAACGTGACACACGTCATACAATTTTCATAACTTAATTCACCTCACAGATTGTGCTCGTCATTTTGGGCTATGAAGGTTGTCAGAGGGTTTTCTTGTCTCAAAATCAATTTAGTCACAAGAACATAGTTATTTCAAACATTTGAGAAACATATCAACCTTATCACCTCACCCCCAGTATTCGAAATAAGTGGGTACAACATTTCACTGAATTCCGGGTCCAAGCGGGATAACCGTTGTGGATTGAAAGATGTAACGGAATCATTAGTTTTAGATATTTGTAACACCAAACATTCAACATTTGGGTTGGAATGCGATTTCTTCATAACTCCATGCCATTATGTATGCATCATTTTCGTTTTATTTTATGTCCTTAAACAAGAATACAAACAGGACGAACCCAGAGACAGTATTCAACAACAAATTAACATATTTGTAATATTTCCGTTTTTGCAACAAGTTGGATATTTTTCTCAATAAGATGATTATATTGGTTCACAAAACTCAAGATTGTATACGGACATAAAAAATTTGAATTGAGGATTGAAACAAGTTCCATCCTACAGTAGGTTTTGGGCACTGGGAGAAATGTTCCAAACTGTTTTGCTTGTATCATTCTATGAAATTTTGGGTTTTTCGAAATTATTTGATGACATTGATAACTTTCATGGAGCATTTATCTTTTAGACATCTGATGATGTTCTATTTCTTTATAACCTTTATTGGGTACTATTTTTTACCGAACATTTGATCAAATCATAAACTTCATCCTGTTATTGCTATCCCTTGTGATTCTTCTCGTGTTGAATCTCTGATACCTAATTACGAAAATAGTTGTGTATGTTTTTCACCTCAAACATATATTTCAATCTTGTCCAATAATTGAATTAAATCTATAGCTAAGATCACATCTCCAATGATAAGCATTATGTTTTCTGATTCATGTAATTCGAATAAACAATGAGAATGCCACTTTCGCCAGGAACTCTATATGCTTGACCAAAAATGGAAGGGTGGCACATAGTGAAATTCATTGAAGGGAATGATATGGTGAAAGCAGTACCTGATTCCTGGATATTTGGAGAGTCTGAAGACTACAAATGTCTATGGCCAGATACTATTCTCGGAGTAGAAAAGTGAGATCTGCAATTCGGGCAAAGTAAAATCAACCGGAAACTGAAAAAGCTCACAAGTCGAATTTTTGAGTAGTTCACCAGATGATAGTTTCTATATGGCAACTCAAAAAGCTGAAATGGCCAAGTATACCAGTGAGTTAGATACTGAGAGCGAATTCTCAAGAGAGCATCGGGGAGAGGACATTTTGAATAAAAGAAAGAAGGAGAAGAATTTACCCTATATATCCACTGTAGATGACGCATCCACTCTAGAAAAAGTTGCTAGGAGATCACCACAATTCAAATTACCAACACCTCCTGGTAAGATCAATTCGATATTTCTTGACTGATTTCCCCCTATTCTTTGCATATCAACAGTTGCAGAATTTCATCTGATGATTTTTTTATTTCAAAGCGCACGAGAGGGAATCCCTTTGATGTAGTTTCCATTCGTTATCAAATATATTTCCAGGTACTTATTCACAACTTGCCAGCTTATCACAATCTGAAACACGAACTGAAACATTAGTAGTGGTGGAACGAACTTGAGCAAGGAAGTGGCAACACAATGAATAATTCCGAACTCCAACCCGGATCCATCAACCGCAAGAACTACTTCTCTCACTGCAGCATAAACCGAAATATTCATCTTGTCAAGTTCATTAAATCTCTCATATGAATCTATGAATTTTCAATGTTTCTAAGATTTTTATAGATTTTACGGAGATTATAAGACGTCTCCATAACATCAATGAAAGGGTCACACAGAATACTGAACTGATAACGGCTCTTCTGAATTCTAAGAATGAAAATATTGTCCCAGACCATGATGATTATAATCAAGAAACAATAGATATTGATATGCCATTCAAGTCCTACGTAGAGTTGATGAAATTGGCCAAAAAAACAAGAAAATAAAAGAATTCATGGTGATTTTCACTTCCTTCAGAAATATCTCGAGCAATTCACAGAGCAGTGATGAAAATATGGAATGAATAATTTCATTTACAGGTGACAAAGCTTGTGCATGTTGGAATCACTGAAATAAAAAATGTCATCAGAAGATGTATGCCTGAATAAGTTGATGATGTTATTTTGAGGCCACTAAGCAGGGTTGGAGGGAGAGAAAAGAAGATATTGCCCACCCTGGACAGGCCGAATTTGATCAAAGGTAAAAAGTACAATAGTCAGTGTTGATTGCACTCCATTTTCACTCAATTCCTAAGGTATTTTATGACATTCCATGAATTTCATTATGAATATTTTTTTTGGAATATTTAATTTTTTTTGGAATATTTAATTGTTTTTCTGAATTCCCATAGCATGCATTCCTATGTGGGTTACATTAGATATGAAGAACTTATGCTTGATCATTTCTTCATTCAGAGTTCAATTAGTACCGAAGGATTTTTACAATTTAGAGTCAATTCTATCATCACTTTATGCAACACCACTTCTAGATTCACTCACTATCAATCAATCAGAGAAGACTGATATCGTCATCAATGATATATCAATACTTCTTCCAAAGTGTTTCGGAATGCCTTCGTTTAACATTATTATTGTTAAATGTGTCCGCGCACCTGTTGCACTAAAACGACCTCTGACCCACATGAATCTGCCGATGATATTTAGGTCGAAAATAGGTACGATCAGTGATCTGATTTACTCCGTAGTGAGACGACGTCTTGGAATAGTTTTTTATTCTCGTGTAACCCGGTTGGTTTCACATTATATTCAAATGCTGTAATTAGTGATTGTAGATTACACTTATTGCTTATTGCTTATTGCTACTCGCTTCAAACCGCTACGTAATCCCTATTAGCAGCTTGAAACTGTGGACTTTTGTGCATGTGCCTATGTAACCATGGACCTGAGCCGGTCTCCACGCCTAACACCATTATCAGACCAAAAGGGCCCTTTGAGAAGCTAGAGGATTAGGCTTTTGTAGCATCTCACGACACGGAACAGTCTCAAAAGGGTAAGTCGTTATATAGTGCAACTCGTTCTACTGCAGTTTCTTTGAAAAATCATAATTTTTGGATTAAGTCCATTTATTCGAATCACAAAGGATTTCGAATCGCATTCATTGGTCCTTCGAGCCGGATAATCGGTACATTTTTGAATAAAATTGCATTTTTTTTTTTATTATTTTCTTGAAGAATTCAAAATTTCACATATTTTGGTCATATTGGCTCAAAACCGCTAGAACATCGCATAATTAATTCCAGTTATCACTTTCCTGCTTAATTACGTATTTTCATTGGTCAAAATACCAATATTCCATCTCAATTATCAATTAAAATTATTCTCGCGCGGTACTCTCTTATTGTCTTCCAATTGTTTGCCATTTATATTTTCACCTGTGAAGAATTAATTGTAAACCGGCGAAATCGGTGCGTTCGATCGACGTGGACATAGCGCTCGTCAGTCTGGTCAGAGAGGCGGGCCTAATTAAGCTCATGCGTATTGATTCACCTGTGCACAGTTGTACACGAACGTCGACCAAGAATCATCAGCTGGTACCGCTATCGTTTCACATTTGATTAACGTGCTATTTCTCTCCTCGCTGATTTATCAAATTTGCGCTGAAGTTTGATATGGATAAATTAAAGAAATATCAGGCTTATAGGAAAACCTGCCTAAATGAAATAAATATTCTCCGAACGTTGCCCGACCGTACTAAGGCTGACAGATCAGTTCGAACTTTGTTCAAAGTACGATGCGGAGAGTTAGAATCTATTCGCGAGGAATTTCAAAAACAACATAATAATGTCGTCGCGGCGCTTCTGACTGATCCAGCCGCTGATGTTGATATCGAGAATGGCGTGCGCGAGGGTTTCTTAGAGGATTTTTATGTCATTAAAAGTATATATACGGATCTGTTCGAAAATGCTAACATTAGTGGTTTACCGCAATTAAATTCGACTATGGCTACTAGTGGGAATAACAATTCGCATATTCACTTACCTAAGATCGAGTTACCTAGATTTAATGGAGATTATAAATCTTTCCCATCCTATATAGACCTCTTCAATGCTCTCGTCCATCATAACGCTTCTATCAGTGACATCGAAAAATTTAATTATTTGTTAACCTCTCTACAGGGTGCACCATTATCACTTGTTCGTACATTGCCTCTTATTTCCGATAATTCTGAAATTGCTTACACGACGTTGGTAGAAAGATATTCAAACACTCGGTTACGTGCTCAGGCTCATTGGCTTGAGCTGGAAAATTCTGGAAGGGTTCCATCCGATAATCCAAGCGCTCTACGGAAATTATTGGACACTTTTTCCGAAAATGTATCTGCCCTCAACCAAATGAAATTTCCAACTGATTCATGGGATTTTATGCTGGTAATGATGCTATTAAAACCAGATTCGAATTAGAACATGGATCATCAGATGTTCCCAAATATAAAGAGTTGTCAAGTTTTTTGAACAAACACTGCATTGCACTTGATACTTTGAATTTCTCACCCTCGTCGTCACAATCTAATAAACGCTCCACTACAATTAATACTAATAAACCGCTTCCGCCAATTTCTACTCCCCGCACTTCCGCATTTTTTACTAATAAATCTCCCTCGTCAACGTGTACATTTTGCAAAGAAAATCATTCTTTATACTCTTGTACTGCATTTGCTGCTAGGTCTCCCTCGGAACGTTATTCCTTCTGTAGGTCTAATCATCTTTGTTTCAATTGTTTGAGTGGTTCTCATGATCTTAGGTCTTGTAATTCATTGTATACTTGTAAAAAATGTAAATCGAAATATCACCAAACGCTTTTGCATGTGGATAAATCAAACACTAATACTCCAATTAGGGACGGGAACAATCCCTCACATAGTTCAATCCCGGGTCGCATTACTTCTGATAATAATTTGTCTAACTCTAGAAATACCGCGGTTGCGAGCACCTCTACTTTTTTGGCTGGACCTGAAATTAATGTTTCGACAGGGGTGTTGTTAGCAACAGCCTGGATTGATGTACTGGACAATCAGGCAATATTTCGACCTTTACGCTGTCTATTAGATTCGGGAAGTATGACATATTTCATCACCCAACGTGCAGCTCATAAATCAGGACTTCCAAAAACCGACTTTGAAATTGAAATTAAAGGAATAGGGTCCATGCAATCAAATTTCACTAATGGTCGCGTCACCCTTGCGATAAAGCCTATAGGCGAAAACTCTCCATTATTTTGCACAGATGCTGTCATTCTACCTAAGATTTGTGAAAATATGCCTGCTTCAAAATTCGCGATAGATACTTGGTCGCATTTAGCGAATATCCAACTTGCTGATAAAAGGTTCTTTAGTCCGGATGCTATTGATTTACTGCTTGGCGCAGATCTATTCCCAAAATGTATTCTGAACGAAAAAATTTCCGGTAGTTTAGATGAACCTGATGCAATAAATACTGTATTTGGATATGTCGTGACGGGACGTATACTGTCACAACAAAAGGGTTGTTTCCACCATGTCACAAAAAAGAGTTGTGCTTCCACCATGTTACGATAAAATAGAGATGGTTAATTCATCCTATCGATTTATAAGTGGTAATGCTTGGCTTAATATTCTGCGAGAGGTAATATTAAAATAGGCACTAATAGTACAGGGGTAACTGAAAGTACGAGACTACATTCAAAGATAACAATATTTATAATAGCATGAAACATTATGAGTAGCGATAACAATTATGAATAAACAACAATGAATATAAAGACTGAATAACAACTTACATTATAAAGACCATAACGACGAGCTCTTGTCAAGTCAAGAGTAGCCCCAGACCAGACTAACTTCGGAACCCTCATATCCAATATTTATATACATCATTTTATTAGATTTGCACGTTTCTCATGAGAGTTCCTTGGTCAGTTTTCATAGTTCAATGTCAATTGATGATTTGAATAATTTTATGTTTATAAAACCCTCATGGTTACAAATTACTAATATACTGAATGTTCTACTCGTGACATGACCCCTCTCTCCGAGAAAACTGGACCCCAGTTTTGAAATTACTACCTACCTATAGCTATCGAGAAGAACATATATCTTGAATACATAAATGACAAAAATCAATACATCTCCGAAATTAAGTTCACACACTCAAAAGTTTAGTGTCTACAATGCACACTCACACATTTACTTAGTCCGGCACTGGCTATTCAACTAAAGCATTTTAATCAGACTCTTCTCGGTGAGACTCCTGGCAGCTTGGGGGTAGGGAATGACGATTGGGCATGGCATCCTCCAATCGTCATGGAAATTTCGGCAGGATCCTTTTGGGCTCGAAGGTATCCTTGTCCTGGGC